TAAGGAATAAAAATTTGAATAACAATGAAAATGCGCAAGGCTCTCTGGTAGTTGTAGTAAAGTTACGTCATATTGCAAACGGTCTATTGGTTTGCAATATAATGAAAATTCTTGATCAACGGCACATTTTGTGAAAATCTTTATTGCTGTATCTATCAAGATTAGTCGTTTCGTAGTGAACTCCTGAACTCCTGAAATTAGCGACAGTGTCCGGATTCCTTGTATTTGTCCAAGAGCCGAGCCCGCGGCACAAATTACGGGAGCGCTGCCATCTTGCTCGCTTGTTTAGTCATGTATCTATCCCAAAACGCATTGAGCCATATTGTACTATTCGACCTTAAAACCAATCGGATGGAAACGGTTTGCGAATGGATATTTTAAAGACATCTGATTAATCCATGTATGAAAATTATTAAACGCGGCCGCATTGAATGCTGGTTGACCAAGGTCCTTTAAGAATAAAATCATTTTGTTATTTCACAGAGGTACCATGCAAGAGCCTTGTTTCATCTTTATCAGAAAGAACCACAAAAAGCGCTTGACTTTTGGAAAAGGTGGGTTAATAGGACCTTTGCACCTGTGGGTCACATTACCACACCTACCTTAAATATATCAGCAATGACAAAATGATGCTCAGAAATGGAAAGAGGGGATCAAAATAAGAAGTATTTCGAGTTGAGACTTGAGACTTTGCCATTTTACCAACATAAACCTGCTCTTTCCATTCTGAACATCATTTTTTGATAGTTGATTGATTTAAGGTAGGCGTGGTCACGTGGCCCCCCAATTGCAAAGGGCCTATTCGGCTTGTAAAAACAAATAATTTTTCGAATCTGAACTCATCCTGGTGATAAAATAATGATAAAATCTCATTTTAAATCTTTCTTTTAAGATTGTGTAATGGSGAGCTTACAGATAGTGTGTTTCCAGGTCTTGAGTTTGTAGTTCAGTTTGTAAATAGGTAAGTATGGCTCAAAGACATTAACTATGAATTTATTTAAGTTAATGAAATTATATGTAAGCTTATTTATGTTATAATTTGCCATTTCGAAATTCGAAAAGGAACTCTTGCCTAGTCACAAACACGATACATTTTGAACAACGATTGTACTAATAAAATCAGAACAGCTGTTGAGTTTTATCGTATTCGGATAAATACTTACAGAGTTGCAAGGCTTCGGAATAAAAAAAACAACAACAACAAACAAAACAACAAAAAAACAAAGAATGTACGCATTTTAAAGCACTCAAAACTGGAKTATTATCGTTATATATATATTTCATTTTTTCATTTTTTATTCGTTTTTCATTTTTGTGTGTTAAAACATCGTTCAGACTAGACGACTATGATCTGTTATGGAATCACGTCCCATGGATGCTGGACATTAACCAGAAAGCTGCTGTGAAGGTTAGCAATTTATATGAAAGATTAAAGAACGCCAAACGTCACAACTAATCACGTGACCACTGTTTATACAAATTACTATACATTTAATTCACACTCTGTAATTTGATTGGTTAATATTCTTTTGCGGTTATGTATAAATACCGCGTTGCACCGAGCTCGCCCCAAGGGCACTCTCTGTTGCAATTTTCCAATCTCGAGCCTCACGGCTAATGTCAGCGGTCAGCGATTTTTTTGACTGATCAGGTGAGCATACACTTGCGACTTAAAAAACCGACTTGAAAATGCGTGATCGCGTCGTTTTCAACCAATCACGAATCGAGAAGTAACGCATTCACCCAGAGTCTCTCACGCATTGACTTCCGCTGGATGGCAAAAGTGCGGGCTCTGGGTACGAGATTGGGTGAGCATGCACTTGCGACTTGAAAAAATGCGTGATCGCGTCATTTTCAACCAATCACGAATCGAGAAGTAACGCATTCCCCCAGAGTCTCTCACGCATTGACTTCCGCTGGATGGCAAAAGTGCGGGCTCTGGGTACGAGTAGATGCCGAACGCTACAGCTAAAGAGAGGGCCATGGGGACGAGGTTCTGTACACTTCGCCAAAACACAGAACGTATTCTGAGAAATAAAAAAAAGCACTGTACCACTGTAAAAATAAAGAAAAGCTACGTCATATTCACGTGACGCGTGGAGTGAAACTKTAGTCTGAAATTACCGATGAAGAATTATAATTTATTTAAGAAATATTTCTTTTATAAAATTTTTCGAGCGAAAAGAACATTTTGCCGGTAAGCCGTGTCTCTGTCCTCTGATATAAACACGGTCGTCAGCCAATCAGAGCGCGCGTTATATATCAAAAATTATAAAAAAATACAGGAGTTTCATTTAATAGTTGGGCTGCCTGTGCACTTTGTAGGTTTTCATGAGCAGACCGTCGGAGGAACCATCCAAAGAGTCCATGTTACCAACCCGGATTGTAGAATATTTACAAAGATATCCAGAGGCACAAGTTATATACCTAGAATATTTAGTTTTTACCATGAAAATACAAGTAAGTACCTCACAAACAATTTCTTCGCGTAAGTTGATAATTTATAATTTGCAGCGAAGCCATTTTGTGTTACAATGCATGATGGGTGCTGGAGGCCTTTTTCATTACGTTTTCATAAGCACTAAAACAGTCCTTCTAAGCAGTTTTTTTGCTTTTTCTTTGCATAAATAGATGGAAGTAGTTGTATCGTTTCTACAAAGAAAACATAAAACCGCTTTTTTCATGCTTTGTCCATATCACAAGTCCGCCATTTTGAATGGTTTTGCAATGTATCATGGGATATATATCTCCCTTTCTGCATCAAAACAAATCGCCAAAATCGTAAAAACATTAATTAGTTTCGATTTTTCCACAGACAAAATATGTTTGTTTTCATTTGCTTGATTTGCCTAGTAAATGGAAATTCTTGATTAACTGTACATTTTTTGGAGGTTTTTCTTGCTGTATTTCCTTGCATGTTGATATTTGTTTGTTTTTTCGCTTCTGAGATTAACTACAATATTTCCCAATGTTACAGACAACTGGAGCACTGACATCGTTGTTCACTTGTTTACTCATTTATCAATCCCAAAATGCACTGCGTCACAAGGCTTTCCGCGGGTTGCGATATGGACTATATAGGCTATTACTGTTGGGTGCACTATTCGTGCGGGAACCCTGTGTCTATCAATGAAAAGCAGCTTGATGATGGTTTATCAGTTTTTCTTAGTTATGGAGCTCTGATCCACTTAAATTTTAATTTACTCTCAATCAAAGTCAGCAGCTACAATCCTGAACAAAAGGGTTTTCAATAATTCACTCCATTTAGCAATATTCGAAAAATTCTACATAACGTTCATTCAAACCCCTCCCCTCCCCCCCTCCCCCCAAAACAGTATTTTTGCCACTGAAAGAGCATTCAGCAAGTATGTGCGGTCTTCGAAACACAACTTTGAGCGATGGGGGATGGGGGATGGGAGAAAGCAAGCAAATATGAAAACTCTGCGCAATATTCGCAAAATTGTGCGATTTTTCAAAAATTATCAACTCTTTTTTGTCCAGGATTGTAACATTCATACAGGAGCATTGATGTTTTTATATTTTTTTCAGAAAGAAAAATTCCATACCCATTTAGCAGTGTTGTATTTAGAAAGAGTATTTAGTTTGAGAAGGGAGCCATCTTGTTCTGTTGAGACAGTGGAAGGCGCAAGGTAGGGATTTTTGGAAATCTGTTGTACATACAGTCGAACCTCTATTTAACGGTCACCCTCTATTAACCGGTCACACATGATGACCAAATGTCGATTCTCATATATATTTACTGTTAACGTGACTTCTGTTAAACGGTCAACCTCTAGTAACCGGTCACCTGGTCTTTTTTTCAAGGTGGCCGCTCAATTGACTTTTTTTAAAAATTCCCAGTGCAAGCGGGCTTAGCCTCGAATCTGTGTGTAAATTCATTGTTTATTTTATTGTTTTCTATCCTAGAAACCAGGCTATTTCGGCCTATAATGGAATTTTTAAGAATAGTCAAAAAAACTGGTAAAAAAGCACAGCAACAAAGAAAAAACGAAACAAAACAAAACAAGAAACGAAAAAAAAAAACGAAAACGGGAGAGTAACTACAACAATATTTGGCAGTGAATAGTCTTCTTCACGGTTCCCTGCGCCATCTTGAAAGGTAGCCGTGCCTTTACATGGAAGCGAGACAACCGTTGAGCGTGCAATGATAGATACCTGTGAATAATTGTCTGTAGGTGTGAAAGAAGGTTTCTATCATTGCACGCTCAACGGTCGCTTCGATACAAAGGCACGGCTACCTTTCAAGATAGCGCAGGGAACCGTGAAGAAGACTATTGTCACGTGTGATCTTAAACATCTAGAAGATTTCTCGAATACATGTAGCTCTAACAACTATAGTTTCATTCTCAGGATGAAACTACAAAATCTACTCGAGACGTCATCTCTTTACCGGGTCGCTCTTGTATTATCGAAGATCACCGAAGATTCTAATTTGGATGCTGAATCAGCTATACTTTATGGCAAGGTTTGTCAGTATATTTAGTAAGAATACTCATGATAAGGCTTTTATTGCGCTTATAGTATGTTCAACAAAAAAGATAATACCTTTTCATTGGTCGAGAGGAGTATAATTACAGCGTTAATGCCTGCGGAGGAGGCTATGAATGAACTATAAACAAAAAAATCGCACAACCTCTCTTACAATTTAAAATTATCAGTCACTCGTAATGCTTTGAAAGTTTTCAAATTGCACTCGGCCTATCGGGCTCGTGCAATTACGAAGTACTTTCAAAACATTGCTCATGACGGGACTATTAGTTCCAAATTATACTCAAGGACGTGCGATTTCCTATACTAATAAACCTTTGAAGCTTTTACGTCATATAACGTATACGCAATGCATTGTAGGATATGTTTGGGACCGAATATGACGAATTTATATAGTTTTCTTCGGAAAATGATCCCATGATGCATTGCAAATCAAGGAGGTGACGTAAGAGCTTCAGAGGTCTATCCATGTCTGCTCTAAGCGCCGTAAAGGCAAGACAAGGTTGTCGCGTGCGACTTGTAGTAATACGACTCAAATAAGCTCGGGGATGTTCGGTATTTCGATTTGATTATCTGTCCGCCCTCTGTTCAGCGGACAGATCTATCAAACGGCCACTTTATACGGTCCCGAGTGTGACCGCTTTTAGAAGTACTACAGGTTTTGTTAACCAACCTAGTCGTGAGCAGTTTTAAACGGCTTCAAAAACTCCAACACTAATCTGAAACTCAAATCCGTTAAAAAGTTTGGAGAAATTGCCCTAAAAATAAGTTTTGAGATAAATGGGGCAAACTGATCATGCGCGAATCACTTAAAAAAACCACTCTTGTCATCCCACATTGAATACGCATAAAGTAAAATAGAAGGGCTAATGGATGTTAACTGCAATCGGTTCACATCCTACATTGATCAATGATCAGGTATCAAACCTGAGACCTTTGCTAGGGTCATGGACAGATTATATCTGATAAAGGTCACCCTTATTAGTATTCTT